AGTTCCGTTGGGTAGATTTCTAGAAGTGGAATTGCTGGACCCTATGGCGCATGTACGTTTAACTTTTCAAAGAAACTGCCAAACTGCTTACCAAAGTGGTATCACCATTTTTTATTCCCTCCAGCAAACAATAAAAATTTTAAGCTGAATGTTCAAGAATTGAAAAGACTGTATAACTCTTCCATGCACGCACCAGTGGGTGTGTGTGTCAGGCAGCAGACTGACTCCCCTGTGAGATGAAAACGCGTCAGTAACACTGCGGGTCACCTGAGAGTGTTAGTTACCCACCAGCCTGGTGCTGGGCCCGGGGGCTCCCAGCAGCCCTGCCTGTGTAATTAGCTCAGATGGGCCCAGTGAAATAACACTGGCGTTTGAGATAAACACGCTGAGTGACCACCCTCTCTCAGTGGCTCCGCACCCTTTCACCACTCCGCCTTTCCGACACATTCATTCCAATTTTCCCCAGGTGATTTCTGATAGGCCCCTTGGGAATCTATGCCCAGAATCCTCACTGGGTCCCTCGGTAGCTTCTTTGGTGCTTGAAACTCTTACGAATAGATGACAAGTAAACGGCGCTGACCTGTATGTGTCTCCGTTTTCCAGGCAAATAAAAGTATCTGGCAAGCCCACACCGAATTCTGAACTCCGTGGTCACGATGGCCAACCCGGACACAATACTAATGATCACCATGTCCCTCTGGCTGCACCTGGACGTTATTAATCCGTTAAAACAAGTCTGTGGGTTTCTCCCTCTCCAACCCAATTCGACTCCGTTTTATCGGATTTTGGAGACACTCCAGCTGCTTTCTAATATCTACATGGTGTTGCCTCCCAGCCCAAATCTGTAATGTGCTTGTAAAGGCTATTGCACTTGTTGGACATGGTTTATTTTCAATAACCTCATAGCTTTTTCCCTTTTTTATTTTTTGGAATGCCGCAGCCCTCTGTATGTCAGCTTATTCTTTGCTTGTTACCGAGGGAACAACGCACCTCCCCCCGAGGCCCTGGAGCGCCATACACTTGGTTTCTGGGTAGGAGATGGGCATGGATGAGGGACAGGGCCCTGGAGGGGAGGAAGGTTGGAGGAGGAAGGGTGGCAGGAAGGGAGAGGGGATAAACCCAAACACTTTCCCATTACAATGTGCAACCATGTGTGTTTTTTAATCGGTTCTCTTTTAGGAACATAAACGTACTTAAAACAGTCCCTGTCTAAACCCTTGAATGGCCACCTGTATTAGTATCACCTGTTAGAAATTTTCATTTTTAAATCTCCTTCTGGTGGCAGGGAATCAACCTCCAACAAGACGAAAAAGTAGAAATTATCACCAAAACCTGCCATCTCACTGCCAATTCCTAACTGAGCTGCCCACCAATGCTCCTCTGGCCTGTGTCCACACACCAATGCCAAGGCCACCCCCGACCAGGCTCCGGGAGGAATCAAGTCCCACTGTGCAGGATCCCCTCTTCACTCTGCACGCACCATCTTCAGTCTTCCCAGAATCCAGAGAGGCAGCAATAACCACCCCCTCTCACAAATGAGAAGCTGGGGATCTGAGAAGAGGAATGAAGTGCGCGAGCTGGCAAAGCTGGAGAGAGAAGCAGTGGCAGGATTCAAACTTAGGACTTCGGACTCCAAAGCTTATCCTCGTTTCTCTCTCTCTCTCTCTCTCTCTCTCTCTCTCTCTCTCTCTCTCTTTCTCTCTCTCTTTCTCTCTCTCTCTCTCTCTCTCTCTCCCTCTCTCTCTCTCTCTCCCAGACTGCCTCTCGGCTTCAACTCCCGTATCCCTCGCCACGGTTGCCAAGAGACACCACCATCTCTTCATCCTCATCATCAATAAATATTTATCAAGGGCCCACCGCCTACATGGCATTGCCCGTTTCCACAGCAACACCGTCCGAGAGTCATGGGAGTATCCCGTGCTGAAAAGAACAATGCTGTGACGCCCTGTGATCATGGCTCTGAAAGGTGAGGGTTACGTAGGACAGCAGATGCCTCTTGGCTGGCAGCTCGGACAGAACCAGCAGGAGCTGTGTGTGTGTGTGTGTGTGTGTGAGTGTGTGTGTGTGTGTGTGTGTGTGTGTGTGTGTGCCGGGGGGCGGGAGGGAGCAAGAAGAAATTAAGTGGAGGAGAAAGAAGGATAGTGCGTTGTAACCCAAGAAGATGGTCTGCTGTCACCGGGGATGTGTTTGCAATTGTTGCTGAAACAGGATCCAAGCCAGGTTTGCACGTTAATTGTTCTTTTATCAGGAAACAAATCGAGCAATCCAAGACCGAAAGTGAGATCTGACTGTACTGCTAACAGTTCCCCAGAGGCCTCTGGCAATGATTATCGCGTTAAATGACCGCACTGCTAACGACTGCGATCGCAAGCCAGCCCCCTCTAGGATCCGTTTTTTGCTCTCAATGTATGAAGGCTGATGCCCGGCAGTAAATGGACCAATTACCCCCTTCTCCACTTGTTTAACTGCTTCCCTCTTAACCCATCCTAGATCATGTTTTGCCACACTGGTAACAGGCTGACTTTCGATGCTTTTTTTTTTTTTTTTTACTAGCATTCCTTACAAAAATCATCCTGACTCGTGAAACACTCCTTAGAGTAAGGGAGAATGGCACCATGGACTTCTGGACACAGGAACCAGCATAGCACAGCAAAACGTAAAGCCCCAACTGCTTGCTAAATGGAAGCTTACAGACTTGAAGTTGCTTTCCAGAGTGGGAATTTTCATATTAAAAGAATAGAGAGAACATGCCATTGAATTTAAAATGTATTATTTACCCAAACTTGACAAAAGTTTTAAACAAGAGGCTTTAAAGGAAATCAAGCTGTTGTTATATATATGCTAGATTTGGATTCCAACAACTTCTGTGTTTAGAAAAAAATGTAACATAAAGGCCCATTTTTAAAAGTCAGCATTTGCAGCGTTCCTCATGAGGGAACCGAGGAAAGTCACCTAATTTAAATAGTCTGGTTAGCGTGAAACCAGAATGAATAGACGACACTGAAAATCCCCATTTTTGCAAATGAGACTTAGAATACACCCAGTCTCCAAAACAATCCGCTCCCACTCACTTAAGGAGCCCCTGGAACAAACGCGGCCGCTTGCTCCGTGCAGGCTGTGGGCGATCTGCAGGAGCCAGCCGGCTCAGGTGGAACCGCAGGAAGCATATGGTGACTGAACAGTCCATTTCTTCCCAAACTGTCCTCCAGGGTGGCTTTCCTTTCCCCTGGGTTCCAAAGAGCAAACAAAGAAAAGGTGCTCGCTCCTCACACTTCTCTGACGCCTTTTAACAAAAGGCTGCTGAATAAACACATTACTCATTTAAAATTTGAAAAGAAGTTCTATTCCAGAGATGAAAGCAACTAGATTTGCATTTTAACCGTTGTGGGCGAGCGCCACCTGGCGGCAGCATCACGAACCGGCGTGCTTTCTGCACGGAACTGGTCCCCAAGCTGCTATGGCTTTACCGAACGCTAACCCAAGAACGGATCCCCTGAGACCCATGGGGGGATCTTTTTAATACTGTGTTGTTGTTGTTGTTGTTGTTGTTGTTGTTGTTGTTGTTGTTGCTGCTGCTGCTGCTGCTGCGACAACGTGAGCACATACTATTCATGTGGGCCAGGACTTGGAGGACAGGGAAAACCTAAGGCACAAGCCATGCCGGGTCCCCAGGACTGCCACAAGCAGCCTCCTCCCCTCCCTCCTTAGCACGCCTCGCACAGACCCCAAAGCCAGGAAACCAGGACCTGAGCACATCAGCGTCATGTGTATCCCTCTTCTCCCCCTGGCTAATCCGACCTTCTCCTCTTCACACGCCTCCAGGGAAGCGTCCTGGCCGCCTAACTTCCGAGACAGGTTGTCCCTCCACACAAGCCCCATAGTCAGCTGCCGTTCGGGTCTGGAGCAAAGGAGGCCCGGTGCATTTCCAGCAGAAGGTCCCTCCAGCGGTCTTAACTTCGGAGGCAGCCGGTCTAGAGAGGGCGCATTCCCCGGAGCTCCGGGCCTGCCCGCCTGCCTGCTGTCTTTCTCTTCCTTCCTCTGCCTGATATAATACATAACGGGCCCGCCGGTCGTCAGCATCCGAAAGCGCCTTCCCGGAGTCCCACTGCTGGTCTCCGCCTGCCCCTGCGACCCGACCCCAGCAACCTGCATTCGGCGTGGCCACCCCAACACCAACGGGCGGGCGCGCAGGAACTTCAAGGTGATTTTGAACTTGGAAGCTTGCCTTCGCCGCTTCCTCCCTCCTCTCCTTCCCGCCACTGCTCTTTCGGGGGTTTGAGGACGGGGAGCCGCCTGTGCTGTACAGTTTGGTGGTATGGAGGCCCCCACCGGAATACACCAGGGCACCCCACACGGAGCATGCCCCTGCTCCCCTTCCTCCGCATGGGCAGACCCACATAGGGTCCCCCAAACTTTCCAGGAGCAGGCTGAACGCTCACAGGGCAAAGCCCTGGAAATGCCCTTAGAGGCGCCCATGTGCTCCGGGAGGGGCGGGGGGAGACCGACCTGTGATGAGCACAGACCCCACAGGTGCAATCGGCGCTGGGGAAGGACCGGCTGAAGGCGGCGCGCACGGGGTGGTCTGGCGCTCCCCGTGCCTCCGGGAGGGAAGCAGCCCGCCGGCCCCGCGGCCAGACCGCTCCGGCCGGCGCCCCGCTCCACCCCGCGCCCGCACACACGCGGGTGACGGATTCCGACAAGTGGGAGCAGCGAGTGGAAATGCCCGCAGCCGCCGCGAAAGTTCCTCCGCCGCCGGGGCCGGGAGTGCGGCGGGGGGACTTGGCCAACCGCGGGCGGCGGCGGGGCGCGGGGCGCGGGGCGCGGGGCGCGGGGCGCGGGGCGCGGGGCGCGGGGCGCGGGGCGCGGGGCGCGGGCTCGCTGCCGGCGTCCGGCGGAGGGACCCTGGCTCCGGCCGCCGAGCCCCGGCCACCACCACCCCCCGCACCCGCACAACTTTCCCCTGGGTCCGCGGCCCCGGAGCGGGCGGAGGGGGCACTCACCTGCGGCGCTCTGGGCGCGGGCGCCGGGCGGCAGGAGCAGGCAGAGGGCGAGCGCGGCGAGCAGCGCCATCCGGGCGGCGGCTCAGCCCCTGTCCCTGTCCCTGTCCCTGTCCCTGTCCCTGTCCGCGGGCGCCGGCGCCGGGGCTGGGGCGGGCGCGGGGCGGCCCCGCATCGCCGGCCGCTGGCGCTGGGTCTGCGGCTCCGGAGTCGGCGCTGCGCTGGGTCCGAGGCGCGGCGCGAACTGAGGCTGGAGAGGCGGAGGCTGGCGGGGCGGGCCGGGGGCGGGCCGGGGGCGGTGTCCCCCGAGTCCTAACGCCGCCGCGCCCGGCGCTCCGCCCACCGCGCTCGCCCCGCGCCCCGCGCCCCGCGCCCGCCGCCCGCCGCCCGCCGCCCGCTCAGCCTCGGCTCCGGGCTCTGCACAGTCACGCGCCTAACGCATCCCCTCCGCCCGCACACACACCGCACACAAACACACCGCACACACCGAACACACCGCACACACCGGCACATACACCCGCACACACACCCGCACACACACCGCACACACCCGCACACACACCGCACACACCGCACACACATACACACACACACACACAAACACACACCACACACACACCGCACACACACCGCACGCGCACGCCCCGCGGGGTCCTCGCCCCTGTGCCCCCCGCAGCCAGGCATCGCCCCGCTGGGGCGCAGGCACCGGGGCGGCGGGGGTGTGGGGGGAGTGAGAAGGGGAACGACAGCCTTTTGAACTCGGAATGGGAGAACAGGTGAGTGGGGGGGGGGTGCGATGGGGGAGGCGGGGAGGAAGCCAGTGAATGGGGTGGTGGTCCGGGAGAGGAGGAACGGGCACCTGCCCTAAACTGGGGCGGCAGGCACCTGCTGGCGAGGTCTGGGCACGCCCTGGGATGAGAATTTGGTCTAAGCGTCAGCACCTGCCAACACACACACACACACTCACACACACTCACACTCACACTCACACACACACACACACACACACACACACACACTCACACTCACACTCTCTCTAATGGGCGTATGACTGACCACGCTGCGGTCACCTGCCCCCTCCGGCTCCCATCAGCGCCCAGGTATCCCTCTGAGGCACCCACACCTCTCCCTGTCCCGCCCCCACGTTGGAGGGGCAGACGCACTCCTTTCCCCGCTGCCTCACCCCCTTCCCTTCCTCCAGAACTGAACCGGGCAGCCTGTTCCTCTTTCTCCCCGGTCTGAACAAAGGCCTGCTGGGGGCTGGAAACCACAGATCAGAGTCAACACTGTCCCCTGGCTCACTCTGCCCTCCTGGGAGCGGGGCTCTCAGGGACCCTGGCCTGGGGAGGGGGTGGGGGCGGGGCTGTAAAAACCGGGGGCTGAACACCTGGGCAATGCTCCCTCCTGTGTCAGGACAGCCATCTCCCTCCCTCCCCCTGCAACCCTCATCCTTGGAATTCCAAGAATTGGGCTGGACAGACTTTGGGGGCAAAATATAATCAGGCCTGGCCAGGATTTCCATAGTGGGGCGCCTGCGCTCTGGATTGAGTTGCTACAGCAGAGAACACGGGGCCTCTCTGCCTCCTCCTCACCCCTGCCACACACACCCCCCCCCCAGTTTCCATCGGGTGGAGTGGGTCAGTGCCCTTGAATAAGACCCATTACCTCCCCACCCTCACGTGTAATCCTAGGCACTTGCTTCTGCCCTCTGGCTGCCACCACTACCCCCACCTTCACAAGGTGAAGGGCTTGGACTGGTCTATTGGAATAGCCAGTGTGTCTCACACACACACTCTCACACACACACACACACACACACACACACAACACACACTCACACACACTCACATACACTCACATTCACACACACACACACACACACACACACACATACACACTGCCAGGCAGGTTTCTCCAGGTCCTGTCTGGGGGAGGTGGGACTGCACCGGTGGGGATGGTGGGAACTCTGAGTGGGACCTCACAGGCTGCCTCGGGAATTCTTAACAATTCTACAAACACTTAACGGAGCACCGAACCGGGCGCCTTACTCAGTGCTAAGTCTCTGGGAAGGCAGAGATGAATGGCCCTCAGGACATGTGGAAGGGGGGATCACTTAGGCCAGTGGTCGGCAAACAGCGGCTCTTTGGCCCCCTGAGTGTGGCTCTTCCAAAAAATACCACGTGCGGGCTCGCACGTACAGGGCCACTGGAACTCTGTGGCCCATGCGCAGAAGTCGGTTTTCGGAAGAAATTTCAATCATTGTGCTATCGATATTTTGAAGAAGTGGTTCTAACACCAAGCCATACTCAAGGGGCCAAAGAGCCACATGTGGCTCGCGAGCCGCAGTTTGCCAACCACTGCTTTAGGCTCAGAGCTAAACTGCTGGTTGTTTCCTACCCTCACCCAGGGCCTGCAGTCCATGACCTATGCCCCTAGGCTTGGCTGATGGCAGGGCCCGGCCAGACCACGGACAGCAGGAGGGTTCTAAGCCAGTAACGAGCTCGGTGTCACACTTCTAACTTGTCCCTGCTCCCTGGGGCTCCTATTCACTCCCTCTGAGCTCTCTGAGAAGTACAAACACCAGTTCTCAGTGCCTTCAGAGCACACGCCCTCCTGAGCCCCCCACTATGTCACATGGCTGCCCGAAAAGCTCCCAGGGATGAACAGGGTTCGTGTGGCCTGAGAGAGGCTCCATTGCCAAGGTAGCCCAGCCGGGGGAGCAAGCCCAGTGCCCGGCCTCGGCCCGGGCTGTACCCGCCCAGGTGCCCCGGCCCTCTGCTCTCCCAGCCGCCGGCTCACGGCAGGGCTCTGGCACCAGGCACACCGCTGAGCTCGGGCACCCGCTGTTCCCTCTGCATGGACCACCCTTCCCGACATCGTTTCCCTGGTGAACTCACACCAATCCTTAAGGTTCCCTGTGAATCTTTGGCCCATATGCACTTCCTGCCCCAGACCTGGTGCCAAGGCCCCAGGACTGGCCGCTGTGTCGATGCTTCTCACAGGGTGAGGGTAGGGAGGTGCTTTCTCCCCTAGGTCAGTTCCACAGACCCTGGTTCCCACTTATCAGGGCTGCTGGGTGATGGGAGGGAGAGGGCTGGCTCAGGCCACAGATGCCTCTCACCAGGCCCCCTCTGAACCAGCTTCTGGGGGGGGGGGCAGCAGCATCTCACACCCTCCCTCACAGCCCATTGCTCATTATAAAAGAGTGGCTGCGGCTGCTTCCCCCCTGCCCCATGAGCCGGGGAGCTCCGGGCTGGGGTTAGGCTCGGCCTCAGTGGCATTGTGCCGTCCCTTCCACTCTGCTCAAGAAGGCAGCCTCTGATCCTGAGGGTGACTCAGTCCTTAACCCTCGGGAGCCTTTGGACAGACCTCTCTGGGCCTCAGTTTTCTTATCTGAGCAGTGGGCTCCCTCTCAGATCTGGTGGGGGCTGAGGCGGAGCGGCCAGACATTTTAGCTGCAGAGCTCCTCACCCCAGCAGTCAGCGGGGAAGCCTGTCAGCAAGTGAGCTAGCCGTCTGCCCTGTGCCAGGGACCCGCAGGTGGGAGTCTGGCAGCTTGCGCAGTAGCCATGGTAGCCATGTTGTTACCCCTTGGAGCTTACAGTGAGGGGAGGAGAGAGGACGGAGAGAAGGAGGGAAAAGGTGGGGAGAGGCAGAGATGGCCTCCATCTGTTCCCCAGCCCCTCCCTGTCCCCAGGGATAGTCAGAGCTCCGGTGGGGAGCAAAGCATGGGGTGGGGGAACTGGGAGACACCCTGGGTCAAGATGCCTCCCTTCCCCACTGGGAAAAGAAGGTGGCATAGCTACTCTTTTATTGCCATCTGACGAGTGAGGAAACTGAGGAGCCAAGAAGGCAAGGAATGGCCACTCCATTAGAGAGCCTTTTCTTAATGTGAAGCAAGCACACTAGCCATTTCAATTTAAAATTTAGAAATTCCATTTTAACCACACTCGAAGTGCTCAGTGGCTACGTGTGGCCAGTGGCTGCCATATTGGAGAGCACAGATATAGAACATGTCCATCATCGCAGAAAATTCTGTTAGTGCTGCTCAGGACTGCCCAGGGCTGCTTTTTCTAGAAAATTCCAGGTGACTGTGCTGCTCTAGAACAGAGGTTGGCAGACCTCCTGTGTTTATCAATAAAGGTTTTTTGTTTTTGTTTTTTTGTTGTTGTTTTTTAATAGATTTTTATTGTTCATATTATTACAAATGTTCCTTTCCCTCCCCGCCCCCCCCGCCCACCATTGCTCTCCTCCACCAGGTTCCCACCCCACCCTCTGCCCTTACCCCACTCCCCATTGTCCTCATCCATAGGTGCACAGTTTATGTTCAGTCTCTTCCCCCATCCCCCTCTCCCCTTTTCCCCAAGAATCGTCAGTTCACTCCCCTTCCATACCTCTGATTCTATTATATTCAACAGTTAATATTGTTCATCAGATTTTTTTTTAATTTTCTTGGTTTTTAGATTCACTTGTTGATAGTTACGTATTTGTTGTTCATAATTTTTATCTTTATTTACTTTCTTTTCTGAAAGAACCCCCTTCAGCAATTCATATAATTCTGGTTTGGTGTTGATGAACTTTAACCTTTTTTTTATTAGTGAAGCTCTTTATCTGACCTTCAATTCTGAGTGATAGCTTTGCTGGATAGATTATCAAACCATGCAGGCCAGATGGGAATGGCAAGAAATATTCAATAAAGCTTTATTGGGACACATCCCGTGTGTGTGTGTGTTTACACGTTGCCTGTGGCTGCTGTCTGTGCTACGGAGCAGTGCTGAGTAACTGGCCAAGCCCAGCAATGCCGACAGAGCGAAATGGTTGGCTCATGAGGTTACCCCTGTCTTGCCCTTTACAGAGGTTTGCTGGCCCCCTCTCTGCAGGCAGTCTCACCGCACGATCTGATAAGCATTGGGGTGTGAGCCTGGGACCAGCAGCAGCAGCAGCACCTGGGAACCCGTTAGAAATGCACATTCTCAGGCCCCGTCCCTGACTGACTGAATCAGACATGCTGGCGGTGGGGTACAAGAACCTGTGTTTGAAGCAGCTTTCCTGGACCTTCTGATGCAGGCTCCAG